GTGGACTTCCCTTGCTCCCTTGGGGGCTATTTGTTTGACTATTACACGTACATTGGTTCCGGAAGGGTATCCTGATGCGGAAACAATCGTAAAATTCGCTGTCCCCGTGTCCCCCTTGGCTCCACCACTTCGTCCCATTTTATCTCCAAATTGAGAGGCAATGCTGCGAGAACGGCTGTGGGGTGTCTGAGGGGTGCTTGTTGTGGGTGTCAATGGAGCTGTCGCACCATCAAATAGTATTGATGCTCTTTGCGGTGTGTTACTAGGGGTGCCATCCAAGGTGTGAACTGCAAGGTTTTCGTTTCCTGATGGCTCCGGCGTAGTGATGGATTTGCTATCATCATCGTCCTTGCTGCTGCTGCCGCCGCGACGAAGAAGACTGTGTTTAATAAACGATGCTCCTTTAATAACACTGCCACCAACTATTCCTACTCCCTTGACGGGGGCGCCAACGATCTTCCCTGGTGCCGCAAATGTGCCAGAGAATGTAGAAGAACCTTGCCGCAAACGCATGACATACCCTGGCTTGAAAAGAAGCTTGAGTCGAACTGCGCCAGATTTCCCATCGAGCGGGTATGAAATTTCTGTGGCTTGAAACGGCTCAAGACCTTCAAGATCAATATCAGTGCCGCCTAGATAATCTGCTTTGTCACCGAAATCCCAATCGTACACGTCGAGTCTCAATAGCGAGCCAATTCTGGACTTGACAGAGCATTCAAAGAATTCGTTCCAGGCGGGGTGCAAGGTCTTCTTCTGTACCTTAGTTTTGAATACCTCTTTGCCATTAAGCTTAAACTTGCAGTATGGATCACTGTATCCATTACGGTCCGCAGATGGTAAATCAGCAGCATCCAAAACGTCTACACGCAGCATTCCCATATTATTGATGCTTTCCCTAGGGTCTAATTTCATTTTCACTGGAATGTATTTTAAGCTGACTGTAACCTTGCTCGTTGAGCCGTCATTTGACCTGAGTGTTAGTTCCGTCGGTTTGTACTGATATCACAAGTCAGAATATGTTACAATCGTTACGTGAGAGCAAGCAATGTGGGATACTTACTAAACATTGTTGGAGAGTGGAGAGTGTCGGCCCAGTAAGCTTAGCTAACGCATGGTGTCCTTCACCCTCACCTTTAGTGTCAGTCTTTTCAACCAGACGAAGCGTGATTTTCGACACTTCAAGTTCGCGGACGAATGCGTCGCCAACTAATAGACTTGTTAGAAATCGTTTTCTGAAACTAGATGGAGAGATAGATGGAACCAACCGTCGCCAAACACTGTTTCTTTAGACTTTGTTCGAGGCGATGTATAGGACGGGAATACATGGTCGTCCATCAAAACCTCGAGTTGAACGTCCGAATGCGCCAAATGACCGTCTATGAGCTTGAAAACGATCAAACCACAATCTATTTTACATAAGAAAAAAAGAAAATTAGCATGAAATCCACAAATTCAAAAGCTTTTAGCCAAAGTCCTTTAATAATACCTACCATATTGGGAAATATCTTTGGGTGTGAGGCGAATTTTGGGTATAGAAGGGGATTTTGGCGCATCTTGGGCGCCATTAACCGATAGCTCCTTGGAGTCAGCGGTATCAATATTTGACCGACCATTCGTTTTGGCCTTGGTGCTGGGTTGGGTGTCACTTTCGACACTCTTCCTTGGTCCATCCAGGGGCATCTCACCAGCCATCGCTTCACGAGTGGCCGCTTCCTCAGCTTCTTCTTCAGGGTCGAAGACATTAAGAGTGGGATAGAAAGCAATGGTATAGTTAAGAATACCCTTAGGCTGGCCACGATTGCCAAGACGAAGGCCGGTGGACATCAGTTGCTTTTCATCGTCTACCTCGTATTCGCCATCCTCACCCTCATGGATGTAGTCAGATGCAGAAAGCTCAATCATACCAAGCGATCTGTCCTTTCCGAGGTTTTCCTCATCCATAACCTCGAGTGTTAGTTTCTCACGGGGCGAGTGCATTGGAATGTAGAGAACCTCATCCCACTCAGGGTCGAGGTTGTTGGCGAAGGTGACGGTTCGGGCTTTCTCAATTCCAGAGAGGAGGACTCGGGTATACGGATCGGATTTGCCCATCGTCTCCACATTCCTTAAGCCTTTAGCGTTCTGAACATGTATACGCATAACGCCAATGGGAGGAACATAGCCTCCACTACCAACTATTCCTCTGAGAGCAACGGGTTTCCATTCCACTTTAAGCTTGACACGACCAGTTTTCGCGCCAGCGAGGTTGAACCATTCTTGGCCTTTCTCCATCGATGTCAGCATGTCATTAAGCTTCATCTGGTATCTTCCAAGGATAGGATCAGTCGCAAGATCTCGGTCGTCTTTAATCATCATACCGAAACGCGCCGTTTTTCTATCAGTAATTAGAACTTCCTTCGTAGGATTCTGGAAAATTGGATTGTTCGTCCGTTTGAGCTTATTGGTCACATGGATTTCTTTCCCGTTCAGAAGCATGACACCATATGGATTAAGTTGTCCTATAAGACTCTTGGTTCCGTCGAGATCCTTAGCCTGTTCAATTGTAAATCTTGCAATTCCAGAATTCGACTCCGGAGCTGGCTCCACCTCTCCGCTCTCAAGCTTTCTCCCAACCAAGACTGGGAAAAAGTGAATATCAACCATAATTGCACCCCTTCGTCGGCCGCTCGACAAAATCTCAAGTGTCAAATTCTCATGTTCGTCCTCCTTTTCGAGTGGTTCGAGGGGGAATGTGGCAACACCGAGTTCTTTATCTTTTCTAAACTCGTTCCAATCGTAGACTTGGAGAGTAAGAGAGTCGGTGAAAGATGTGATGATGACGTAGATTGTTTCATTCCACTTCGGGTTAGCAGTATCGCGAACGGTTTTTGTTCTGCCCAATTCATTCCGACTGTTAATAGAAACTACTGTGTACGGGTCCACAGAGCCGCTGAACTTGTCACTGTTTCTGAGATCATGGGCACCATGCACGGTGACTCCGACAACACCGATTGCCTGGTCTACAGGGTTACCTGCAAGCATCTTCGCAATTTCGACAGGGAAGACATTAGGTTCGTACATCATTGGGCCTAGGTTCCCATGAATCTGATCTTTGATGAAGCTCTCAAGTCCAGGAATAAAGTTAATGTCGAATCCCAAGTAATCACCGCCAAGTGGCTTGCAAACATAGTCGATTTCGGGCCGGCCAAGGAAAGAGATATCAACGCGTTCTATATGTGGGAATGGGATTTGGAGTTTCACTTTAACTCTCATCAAACTGGAGAATGCAAAGTCTTGGACAATCACATCGATCCCTTTAGAAACCAGTCCCTTCCCCATGCGAACTTCCAGAACCACTTTCGGGTTGATTTTATTAACCAGCTGGCGCGCAGTGAGATCCATCGTGTCATTTGGTGTGAAACTGAATTTCCAATCCATGAGCACTGTATCGACTTCGGTTTTGGGATAAGTTTTGACATGCTCGAGACGGGGAGGTTTGCTTCCAAGGACAAATGTCTTCATGCGAAGACTGTCTATAAAGGCGGGAGTAGCTGAACTCAGCACTTGATCGACAGAGTTTATAATGGAGTCGCAGAGGACAGGAGCGTAGATAGGCCAGAACTTTACGAGGAAGCTGTTAATCCATTCCAAGGTCTCACAATCGGTTTCCAGTCGGTTTTTGGCCAGCTCACGGTTGATATCATCTCGGAAATTTCGTCGAACGCGGCGTATCGAGGTGCGGTAGTACGTTCCGCAAGCAGCCATGACTATGAAGACCCATCCCAAGCCCCCGCCAAGCAAAGCTATTACCCATGATGCTAGACAAGCAAAAATTATCACACCAGTGTTGTGGTACCAGTCTATCATGATTTAAAATACTTAGTTAGGAGCCCCAGAAGGTTATTCAAACAAACGACTCTTAGAAATAGAAACCAACCTCCGAAAAATCTGTCGTCCAGTTTTGTCTCAATGAAGGTTTGATGATCCAAGAGAGTCTCTCCTTCATCAAAGTCATCCTTTGGGATATGGAAGCGTGGAGCCCATCCTGTTCTGTTACGATCCCATCTTTCCGCTTCAGTGAGTTCGCCATTTGTTTCTGGAGGTTCCGTTTTGCCGGCATCAACTGCTTTAGGGGCCTTGTCCGATATGGCGCCATTACCATTTGTCTGCTTTGTCTGGCGAGTACAGATATTTTTTATAAGCGCCAACATTCCCATAAAAATCGCTTTCGTACAGGCCACACAGGATAAGTAAAGACTCACTATATCAGTAGAGACACCGACAGCTTTTGTTTCGCGCTCTTTAGATAAATTTGAGGGTATCGCCTAGCCGTCGTAAAACTGCGATCAGCAAGTGGTCACGGAAAGGTAGGTTAGTGAGAATAAGAGGGTTGGGAAGCAATATCTAACCGCTTTCACCTGTTCCTCTGTCTTAGAGTTGGAGACATCAGGATCAGACTGGAATGCAGGCACTCCAGCTTTCTTGCTCTTTTCAACGAGATTCTTCTCAATAGTCTCTGGCAAGAGCTCGGGTGGCTGATTCAGTGAGATCTCCATGGCACCTTACTGCTTCAATTCAGCCTTTGTCAAGCAAATTGCGGCAGCAGAGGGTGGTGATGGTCCTGTGACCACTTGGAATAGACGGAACGACAGTTGTAGCTCAGCAGAATGTCAACAGGAGGCTTCAGTCAAGCTGGGATAGCTGATTGGTTGCGTTTAGGTCAAACGGCGTGGCCCCCTTGATAGGAGCTTACGTAGCGGACAAGCAGAGGCGACGGGCGAGAGAGAGCGACGATGTGCTGTCCAAGGTCCAAGAGAGAGAGAAGGCAGGTGGACAATTGTGTGCACAGCCAGCAGGATTTACAGAAGTTCTTGAAGTTCTTGAGCGGTACTGCCGCAGAGAGTGGGAGATATAAAGGTTATGAAGCAATGGAATAAGGGAGAGAGAGGGCAGATGGTGAATGGCGGATGGCGGATGGCGGACGATGAAAGGTTAAAAAAAGGGACTCGCGGTCAACAACAATGAGACAGCAGGTATTAGTTTTTGCCGCTTCCTTCTCAGCTTCTTTCTCCCGCCGTCAATTCCTCGTCGCAGTCGCCTCAGGACACATACAGCCGCAGTGTGGTCCTGCAGGAAAACACGAGAAGACACGGAAGCGAAGAGAAGAAAGGGAGGAAACAGAAGCAGAATTGAGTTTGCGATGGGTTGGGAGTTTATTTCGACAGCGGGCAACCCAGTACGGTACCAATACGCCTGAGCTTTTACTGGGATGGGGCCCAGATCCCGCAAGAAGCGTCCCTGCAAACCGGATTTTGCGCGGAATGACAAGGATTCATTGAAATACATGGAGTTTATACGGTCTGATTATCCATGGATGATGCAAATACACTCCTGACACAAGGCCAACCCAACCTCGCTGTTCTTCATTCCCTCGTGCTGATCGCGCTGTGATACTATCATCATTGTGATGAAATTACCAGCAATCTACACCAGCATCAGATAGAACTTGACTCAAATACCAACCAAACCAAGATCTCGGTAGCTAACAGAAAGTCACTAATTAACCAGTTACCATGCAACTAGTTAATGGAGAACTGCTAGGATTTAACTACCCACAAAACCACATATATCTGAGTCTGTGGCTGATGAGATGAAAAACGGAACACCTTGGCCACTATCCGCTTTGCTCAATATTACATTTAGCTTCTGATCCCCTCTTCTGCCCTAGCATCAGTGGCATGATATTCTGTGCAGTTGAGCTGGTGGAAGTGGTCCGAAGAGCTGCGCCGATTGCATAACCGAAGAACGCGCGCCCTCACACAGACAGCAGCAGACAGTGATGACCCACACTGAACGAAATCTCCATGGATACTTGCGCGGCTATCCACGATCGCGGCGACAAAACGAGGATAAAATAAAACCTTCTCCCACATTCCCCCTTGTGTTTGAGAAACTTCATAGAATGTTACCTGGATAGATAAAAAATACGTTTGGAAATGCATGTGTTCCTGTCTTCGGAAAACATTAAAATTGATTGACGGTGGGGGCTGTTTAAGGAACTCGGGTTTCTCACGAACAACTAGCCCTGCAACCTCCGTTACACTCATAAACCCCAATTTTCAATCTTCAAAATCGCCCAATGATATCGCCAAGAAACTCTTGGGTTTCTTGCATGCACGCCTAGAGACCAACTAGAGACCCATCGTGCGACCAAAGGTTTTCATCGCTATTTAAACCATCTCCCAGCACGCCGTCTCCCGATTGAGTCTCACCTGGAACGATGCATTTATTAATACACTTCTTCAGCTCTTTTTTCCCTTGAGAAAGAAAGAAGAAGAAGAAGAAGAATAAGAAAAAGAAAAAAAAAAAAAAAAAAAAAAGGCTATTCTCACTCAAGATCACCAAAGTTAACTCGATGAAAAAGTTGACAGGATTAACTTCCTTCGGCTGAGAATCCATGGCTGGGAGCTGCCCGTGGCTAGCCCGCCAAAAAGCACTTGATTTTGCACTAAATCAGCTTGATCGGACACAACAAATAGGCGAGCCGGCGCGTGCCGCCATTCGTCATATTCAATTTCTCGGGCCCCTTGCAAAATCGTGACGTGCAGTGGCTTGTCTGAAAGACCCTCAAATTCGCCACTGAAAAATGGCTACACAATCGAAATCCTCCCCGTTCGTCCAGAACAAGGGCCTACGCGGGCAAGCTGAAAACCCGGGATGGCAAATAGCCTCGTGGCTGGAGTTTTGCATAAATATTTATCGTTTCGCGATGTGGCTGGTGACAGCAATTTCCTCTGGTTCATAGGGGTAGTCATCATTGATCAGAGGATGTTTACATTTTCAACCTTTGTTTTGTTTTTTGTTTGAAATGGTACGTCCAAAAATGTTAGGGGAATAAACAAAATCGATGCCGAACCAAGGATTCAAGGTCCTATCTATCCATAGGAACCGGTGAAATTGAACCTCATTTAGAAGAATAATTAAATATTATTTCCGGAAACCATGGAAAGAAGATAAGGAACCCCGCATATGTTCCGCAGAGAATTCAATAGTCTACCAAAGTATCTCAGCTTGATGACATGGATGATGAGCCTGTGGGGAATCACACAATCGACTCGGCAAATATAAAAAATATCTGCAATCAGATTCTCAATATGTTCACTCTCTGCTGAATTGGCGATGGTTGATTGATTCCTACTCTGTAACTACTCACGGAGAAGTACTATTATCATCCTCCCGTCTACGGAATATGTGTAAACAACTGACAAGAAAGGATACCATGTCATTAAATTTGATAAACTGGTTAAAATGACATCAAGACGAAGAACTCCGCATGGAACGCTAAAAAGGTTTGTCCGATAAGCTTTCGACTGACCACAAGTCAAAAATATCTGGTGTCTCCCATCTGCATGTTCATTTCCAGACAGTCCGACTGGCAAACGAATTGATTCCTAACACCCATATACCAAGCTGAACACGCAAAGTTGAAATTGAAAGCGCAATTAATGAAGGTTCAAATCAACAATAATACCATTTCCTCTTTGACTGCTTCTCCTAGTTGTTCTTCCCCCCAACTGAACTATGGGTGCTGGAGAAAATTGGAAAGAAGTTATACAATAGACATCAGGAAGAATGTTTCGTTTTTCGTCAAAGAAAGAACGAGAAGGGGAGAGAGGGAGAGAACTCCAGCTTCTCCAAGATGTTTCTGCTTCTCCTTCACGCTTTTCTCTGAAAAAACGATGGTTCTCATTCCCCGTTGGGTGCCTGCAAGGTATGGTGTCTGAAGTACACCCCAATGTGTGTCCAACCTCATCCTTCAACGGGGTAATCCCCACAGTGGTTGGAATGTTATCTTTCTTTAATACACCCTTTTATCCCATATCAATGAAGAGTCATCCCTACATCCATATGCAAGGATGTCCGTCGGAAGAGTGAATGGGACATTTATTGATGTTAAGGATTTCACTTGACGAGAGATAGAATAAGTGGGTGACTTGAGAATCTCCCTCCGTACCAGCACACTACAATTCTCCTAAGGTATAAGGATGAACATCCCCTGGCTTACCTTCTGCACTTCGACAAAGCCCCTTGCGAAGCTGTCTGTTGCCGTTGAGAATCATCATGCCATCCCCCCGGTTTGTGATTGGAACCCGTAGATGGCTGATGGGTGCGCCGCACCATGATTCGAGAACAGTATAACCTGGCCCACGCGCAAGTATGTGGTTGTGAAAGACAAATTTGGAAAAGCGACGCTACTCTATACGTACACGGCATGCTAGCTTTAGGACCTACTGCATGGAAGCTTTTGGAAGTCTTCTGCAGAACTATGCGCGAGATGTCATAGGTGCTATGTTATGGGCATATCTGCTGGTACATACATAGGGTGTCGATAGCTTGGCGGGAAATCACTTGAGCCACATCTTTCCACTGTGCATACCCATACTTTGACTTTGAGGAGGCATGCATAGCACTCACAGCTGCAGGGATGGGAAACCAACATTCTTTTTGCGTACCTTCGCGGGGTGTCAAGCATTCTTCGCACAGATATTTATCTGCTCCCGTATGGCTCCTACATCACAAAGCTGTGCCTCTCAGCTTTCGTGGAGTTTGTCCCATTCAGAATAATATGTGTTGCGGGCATATACTTTGATCGCATCATGCAATCAGGCATATGCCGAAATGGTCTTTCTTGGTTGATCTTTAATGAAAGGGTCATCAACCTTCCAAGACTCCGGAATTCGGTATCCATTCGAACCAAAGTGCTAAGCTGTCCTCCCATTTGTCGCCTTCCCTTTTTGCTATCCACGCAGAGTTGACTTGGCTGTGCCGACTCTGATGCTAGCTTTTATGGCGATGTAGTTTGATCGCGGGAATATGTGAGTGACCTAACCCTTCCCGTAAGTTCTCATCCAACCTCGTGTCTGGTCTTTTTTTTTATTCATCCCAGGTTTGTTAACTATATATGTAATCGGCAGAGGGAAATGCTTTAACACTCTATTTTTTCCGAACTGTTGGCATTAGCCAAGACCAAATTCAACGCCGGCCAACTGCTCATGTCATTTGGGACCATATTGGTGGAGGTTGGATACCCCAGTTCCAACTCTAACGATTTCTTATTCTACAACGCCACGCATTCTAAATATCATCATCATTACCAGATCCCCAGTAATACGATTTTGTTCTACCTGGGTCCACAGATGTGAACAGGTGGCCAAATTCTTGGGTGGTGAGTAAGCTCTCTATCCTGTTGTCTTTTGTGTATTTTTATATTGATAGTTTCAGGGGTTTCGTGTCCACCTTCCAGGTTTTCCAAAAAGGTTTGCGGGAGTTCATAATTACCAGGATACTATTTGGGTACGTCCATCCTCATACTGAAGAGCAGAGCATCAAGACCGACGGTTAGCAGTATCTGTGAAGCTGGCTTTATGCCTGCCAGTCTATATACCATGACAACGTGGTATGAACGCGATGAAGCAAGCAAGGGATTCGCCATATTTTTTTACCGCAAGCGTATGCGCTGGAACTGTGAGTAATTTAACAGCATATGGATTGTAAGATATCTCATTACATTGCCTTCGCCCTCTCTAACCTAGTTTTGGAGGTGCTAATTCAGGAACCTAATGTCTAGATTACGGATGAGAGGGATTTGCGGACTGGCCAGATGGCAATGTCTCTTCGTAGTAAGGCTCAACCTAATATATTTTGATTTACATATGGGCTAATATCCTTTTAAAAAGAGGGATTGTACACAATCCTCACCGGTATTACGTTCAGTGTACTCTTTCCGAAAGCACCGGAAATCCCGACCTCGCAGGCTGGATTTCGTTATTTTTCCGGAAAGGGAGGCGGCATTTATAGCCCGAAGAGTGATTGAAGATGATTCCACGAAGGCTAGGAGAGGAGCTTCTTTATCACTGCGACAACTAAAAGAAGCGGTATGTAAATAATGGCACCTAATGCACTAGCAACACGAGTGGGCAACTAACTTCCCATTATATATAGGCAACTAATTGGATGATATATCCTCACCTACTGCTGACGCTCGCCGGATTATCACCTGTCGTCGGATTGAGAACCTATGCTCCAATTCTAGTAGCATCTCTCGGATTTGAAAGACTCCGATCAAATGCTTTGGTGTCAATTGAAACATGGATTCAGGTGGTCTTGATGATCATCTGGGGGTATGCTGGGTAGGCGAACATCTCTGCATTTTATCTTTCGTAAATCTACGGGGCTTGTTGCTAATTATCTCACCGTTGTGAAGTGATAAAACAAATAAACGTGGTTTTGTTGCTCTTTCAGACTCTCTCTGCAGCTGGGGAGCTTGTTGGAAGTTGCTGTCCAGGAGGCGGTTGTCATAGCTAAATGCTATGCAGCAATTATTCTAACTGTTCTCTAGCTTGGATGCAGACTGCTCGTGCATTCCCCAGACGGCCATCTCCGATTCTCAATGCTTACCCTCTCCATCGCCTTTTGTGCCGCACATCGTAAGTGCCTTTATATACCTATAACTCTCTTGATTAAAAGTTGATTGATAACCGACAACTTGAATAGATCCCCATCAACGGTTCGTGGTTGGCCGTAAATAGTCGCTTAGCAGAAGAAAGATCTATTACAATGGCCGTGTTCAACATGGCAGCAAGCGCAACAGGCATTGTCGGTAGCCAAATTTTCCGACAGAAAGACAGACCCCTCTATGTGATTGGGTGGACGGTGAGTATTTGCCTATTATCAGCGCACGTTTTCTTCGTCAATGTGTCCATTCTGCAATATGTGATAGCGAACCATAAGCATCTGAGAGCTGGTTGGGTTGGAGAAACACACTTCTACTTGAGGTTCATTGGGTATCTGCCAGCCTGATATTTTAGTCTGCACTATTTTTGCATCATGTTTCTATTATCGTTGATATCTTATGTATCCAAGAAGTGTATTGATTAACGACTAATTTCTTGTCCTTTAATATTTAACCACTCTCTCTATACCTTCATTTACTATGATTCAATGTACTTCAAGTGTTTTCCAAATTCTGGTAAAATCGGGACGCGTTGTTGATGGAGAGCTCCTATATAAAAGCCATTGAGTCCTTTGCGATGTTTTCTGCATTGCACCCTTCCATGGATCTTGCTGATCGAGCTCCCAAAAAATTTGCGCAGCTACACAAAGTATATTAGTCTGAAAGACAAAGGATATTTCAGAGAATGTCTGAACGGCCCAATTTCCTCATTATCGTCGCTGATGACCTCGGATTTTCTGACGGTGGAGCTTTGGGAGAGAAATCAATACCCTAACCTGGACCATCTCGCAAGGGATGGACTACGGTTCACAGATTTCCATACGGCATCGGCAAGTTCACCGACGAGGTCCATGTTGCTGAGTGGGACGGATAATCGTAAGTAAGCCGGATAAGTTCTGTGACGGAAGAGGAAATCCTTTTGAATCAATGGCTCACCTAATCTACTAAAACTAGATATTGCGGGTGTTGCCGCCATGATTGAGACTCTCCAGGAGTTCCAAAGGGAAAAGCTGAGTTACAAAGGATATCTGAGTGGTAGAGTCGCTGCTCTTCCTGAAATACTTCGAAGTGCGGGCTATTATACGGTTATGTCAGGGAAATGGCACCTGGGTCTTACCCCGGATCAGTATGTGTCAAAAAGGGGGTTTGAGAGATCGGTTACTTTGCTGCCGGTATGACAACCAAAAACCATTAATCATTATGAGCTGAGAGCGCAGACTGATAACAAGACAGAGGGGGCTGCAAACCAAATGGGATGGGAGCCCCAACTTCAGAATTCAGACGAACTACCAAGCATCTTTGAATCCACCCCAGTTCTCTATGTAGAAGGCGAAAAGGAAATCGACCTCTCGGAGCTTGACCCCAATTTCTACTTTACAGATGCATTCGCAGATAAATTCATGAGTATCTGAACGATAGCACAGATAAGCAAAAGGAGTAACCCTTCTTCGCATATCTCCCACTCTCGGCACCACACTTACCTCTCCAAGCTCCCGATCAGGACTTCCAGGATTGCCGAGGTCGTTAGGACAACGGCCCAGAGGCTCCATGGCAAGAAAGAATAAAAAGGCTAAATGAACTAGGTCTCATTCCACAACATGTCGTGGCACATGATGTAGTTGCTCCTGGAGATCGTACTCTTTCCGGTGAATGGGAGACATTGACTGATGACGAGAAGCGCTATTCGTTGTGAACGATGGAGGACGGCATATGCGGGCATGGTGCAACGGATGGATATGCAGATAAGACGTGTTCCTGAACGGCTCCGCGAATCCGGCGGGCTGGATAATACATTTGTAATATTCATTCCAACAATGGGCGGAGGGATTACTTCTCGAAGCCATCCCTGTTATCGCTGGAGATATCCTCAAACATATTAGTAAATACTAAAGCAATTCGCTTGAGAATATTGGACGGGCGAACTCGTACGTCTGGTATGGACCGCACTTGGCATTTGAGCGACTGCTCGTTCATGGTTGTACAAAAGGTTCACGGCTAAAGGGGGCTTAAGAGTCCCTTTCCCTGCTGAGATATCTGCCGTTAAACAGCGGTTATAACTACGTGAACAAGGTCCAGAGAGAACGGTCAGCCGCAGCAATAAGCGAGGACAACTATTGAGTTTTTGCAATTGCAACGCTTATGAATAACGCTGACAATCCCTTATCTGGCAGGGATCACGCATCCATACCCTGCCTTCAAGGGACGGGAAGTTGTACCCGTAAGGGGTAAATCTTGGGTTCCATTTTTAACACGCCGGAACAGCAACAGCAACGAGTCAGACGGTGATTCATCCATGCAGAGAACACGGTGACGGGATGGGAGCTTTTTGGGCGCCAGGCGGTTCGCAAGGGACAGTGGAAAGCAGTTTTGATCCAGAAACCATACGGAAAGCTGGATCCCAGAGAAACAGGGGACCTGAGTAGAATGCGGAAAATGCAAGAATCGCTACACGCATGGGATGAATTTGTGAAGGAAGTTGGGTTGTCGGTGCCGCATCGCGTATGGGGTTTTGAGAGTTGATGAAAACGATACATCGAAGCCGGCTCTTCGGTGATGCTTTCACCCAGAAAACTATTCGTGGTCATCTCAATATTCAATGAATGCTTTTACCTTTACTTTTACTTTTTTTTTTTTTTGGCGATTCAACTGGCTTCAACGACGAGGTAGAGTTTATGATAATAACGGCAGGTCTCCTGGATTCATGAAGTATATCATTTTTCATCTTTTCAATGGTAGTATGGTATCAAACGATACGTAACTTCAAATCAACACGCTCCAACGATGCTCAATATATAGAAAGGAAATGAATAACACAGCAGTTAAACCTTGAAATTCCTCGGATCAGCTCACCTTCTAACTTTGTCTCATATCCCAGTGGTAACATAGGTTAAGCAGCACTTCTGAATGGAATGAGTACTTTCCTTCTCCCAATTTAAATGTTAATGAATGACCAAATAAATAGAATAACAGTGGCAGTCAAATATCTCTTATCAGTTTGTTTCCGTAATAAGATCAATAAGCAGCCATGAGCGATGGAAATCCATAAGCGATATCTATCTTCCCACGCGGATAACACCCGCAGCCACCAGTTTCTGGATCTTCACCCGAACGCCTGGGTTCTTCATGTGCTCCTGTAGAGCGGCTGGGTCACTCTTGGCTTGTTGAAGGATACTCTGCATGACGGGATCTTGAAGGATGGACATAATCTATAAAGTTTGTGAAGACAGATTAGTGACATTTCATATTTTGTGGTCTGGCAGCAGTTTTATAAAACATACCTCAGGATCGCGCTGGATTCTCTCTGCAGTTTGCTCTTCGGTTTCACCCGCACGAGCACTGAACTGAGCCTCCAGTGCCTTTTGCTGCTGTTGGTCGATCTCCCGTGCATGGGCACCTGTCTCGTCATGTTCGGCTGCTTCGGTACATACGTCCATGCATTTATTGTATTCTTTCATGGCAAAGAGAGCCTGCGCTTTTCTTAGGTATGCACGAATAAACTTCGGGTCTCGCTTAATCGCTTCATCGCAATCTTGAACAGCTCCTGGGAAAGCCATAAGTTTGATCAACGCTGCTGCACGGTTGCTGTATCCACGTGGATCATCAGGCGCCCGTTTCGTCATCTCAGTGTAAGCATCCACAGCAGCCGGCCAGTCCGCATCTTTGAACTTTTGGTTACCAAGCTCCCTTGCCTTTTCTGCTTCTTCTGGGTCGATGTAAGCATCTTTCTCAGCCTTGATTTTAGCTTTTTCAGCGTTTCTAAGTTTGGTCAAGATATCTGGTGTACGGTGTTCAGTCAACGATTTCTGATAATTGACGATGGCGTTTGACAGGTCTCCCAGCTTCTCATACGAGGTTCCAATTCTTCCGAAGGCCCTATTCCAGTTACGTTAGCAAAGATCACTACAGATGATATAGTAGTGCAGTAATTTTCCAACTTACTTTGCGATGATCTTAAAATCAGCCAACATTTCTCGACCTTCGGTAATAGCCTTCTCGCAAACTTCAATAGCCCCCTGATAATCTCCCTTCTCAAATTTGGCAGCTCCAATGTTAGTGAGATATGTGATATCTTTGTTCAGCTCCCAGGCCTTGTTGTAATGCTCGATCGCAGCGTCGAATTGCCGTTTCTTATAGTTTTCTGTACCAAGTTGCTTCTCTTTATCACCAGTTTCCTTGGCCTTCCGCTTCTCAATAGCCTCCTCATCTTCGGGCTCTGGCTCTGGCTCTGGCTCTGGCTCTGGCTCTGGTTCTTTCTTAGGTTGTGATGCATCATGCATTTTGACATCCTCTTCCGGCTCCCTCGCAGAACCTCCAGCCTCCGGAGGTTGGGCAAAAGACATGTCAATCCCAAGCAACACACTCATTACCTGGAGGAATCTGGGGTCTCTCAACTCCTCTCCGATGTTGTTTGGATTCTGCTTCACACGCTGAAGCTTCGCCATAAAATCCGGATCGGCCAACAAAGAGGATGTCTTCGGGTTTGAGGCAAGTTTGGTGATTAGTTGTGGGTCATTAAACATGCTTCCCAAGCCACCAGATGGGTCCCCGCCCAGACCATCCGCCCTGGCTTCCGCGTCGATTGCCCGCTTGACAGCCTCAAGTCCGGTTTTGGCCTGTGCGTTAGAGGGGTCAAGTTTGAGGGCTTCCTCATAGGCATCATTGGCACCAACTGGGGAATAGTTAGTCACCTTTTACGGGACACGAGAATACATGATAGGTAAAAAGGCAATAGATTTCTTTTTTAAGACCTACTCAGATCGCCCAGTCCATGCATTGCCGCTCCCTTCCGGCCCCAACCTTTCACCCAGTCTGGTTTAAGCTCCGTTGTCTTATTCGCATCTTCGAGGGCCTTCTGGAAGTTCTTGAGGGAGGCATAGGCGCCAGAGCGATTGGAGTATAAAACATGGTTCTCCGGCTCAATTGCTATTGCTTCAGAGAATTTCTCACTATCTCAAGCACTGTTAACAGGAGTATAATTATAACATCAACCACAACCAGCTCTTTGAACAAGCACTCACACTGCCAAACTGAAGTCCTTCGCTGCGAAGGCTTTGTTGCCCTCCGCCTTCAGAGCATCAGCCATTATTATTAGGTTTAATCAGTACGGCGACTGAGAAATACTAAACTGGTATACAATAAGACAAGACAGTAGCAGGCAGAAGATAGTTTGTTGACTGCTGAAAAAAAAAAAAAAAAAAAACAATAAGGAGGGGGAAAATGAGCGGGGGAATGGTTGTAATGTTTAACCTGTTCGCGTCCAACAAAAGCTTCTGGAAATTTCGAGCTCAGTCGGTACAAGTGCTGACGCAGCGTAAAGTTGGGGATACTTACCGATGACTTAATGCCCCACCACAATTTGTATGTATACATAAGTACCACACAGCAACTTATGGGAAAGAATACTGTAATTACAATACTGCAGCGTGGGAGCTCGAAATTTCCACCAGCTCCTTCCCGATTAGGAAATAAGACTCCCCCACAATAATTAAAAAAAAAAAAAAAAAGGCCCGGGCGACTTCAATGTATACAACAAACACACAACAATCAGGCACTCTTCACCAACACCATCTTGTCCTTGTCCCATCTTCCATCTCCATGTTATAGTTTGGACGCACATTTGCAGGTTTGACTCGGATGGAGGATCACTGCTTGACTATGACTCTTTCACAGTGATCCTTGCTCCTCCGCCTGAACCCACTCCTGTCTTCAAACATGCCCACCTCCTCTGTTGGTTCTGCGAAGGGGATCGAAATGACAGACCATAAGGAGCTGGCCTCAGCTCTTTATGCGCGATGTCTTTCCGATTTCCCTCCCGATCACTTGTTCTACCAGCAAGATTTGCTCAACTTGGGTATCATCCCCAAAAATGACCTTTCCCTGTTAATGAAATGCGCTCAGTCACTCGTGGACCAGAGCTTGATGCGTATACTTTACGGAAATGATGACCGTCTTGCTTGGAAAATCATTGCGCAGGCAGATGCCGAAAAGTAAGTGTGGTGACATGATTTTTTATTTTTATTTATTTTACTTATTTTTATTATTTTTATTTTCTTTAAAACGCTACAGGGCCATTGTGTGGGATTCGTCTGATATGGAAACTAACCCTTGACAGACTTCAAAACCTCAATGCGGAAGAACGTCTCATTTACAGCGTGGTCGAATCGACGGGCCGCGTCGGTGTTTGGACACGAACAATCAAAACGCGCACCAATCTTCACCAGACCATCGTCAACCGCTCCCTGAAATCCCTGGAGACGAAAAACTACATCAAATCCGTGCGCAATGTCAAATATCCGCAGAGAAAAATGTACATGCTGTCCGGCCTGCAGCCAAGCGAAGATGTTACCGGTGGTGCATGGTTTACTGATGGAGTTTTGGATGTTGACTTTATCCGCGGTATAGGGGGTTGGATTGAACACTGGGTGAGCTCGAGAAGCTGGTTTGACCAGGCAGCTGCAGAGCGTAAGGCCAAGAGACAGAAAGTCCGCCAAGATAGTTCCAAGGGTGAACCCCAATATATACCATACCTACCATCCTACAGCGGATATCCGACTGTGACTGATATCACGAACGCCATCAACAACTCGGGCCTTACCCCCGTCACTATGGGTGAATCTAGCATCTCACAACTGCTCGAGATGCTTTGCTTTGATGGGAAACTGATCTCACTTCGTGACGGAGCTGCATACAAAAGCGTCAAGAAACCAAACCAGATATCCCTGCAGCGCGAACTGGGATTACAAACAGGCGACAAAACGGGCGAAAACAACGCGGATCAGGATAGCCTCACCCTTGGTGGAAATGGCATGACAGAGGCTCCGTGCGGACGATGTCCTGTGTTCACGCTGTGCCAGGAAGGTGGCCCGGTCAATGCAAAGAATTGCGAATACTTTGACGAGTGGTTGAAGAAATCGATGGCATTTTGAATGTGGTGGCCTGGCGGTCAAAATCCCTGGGAGTTCGACTCCTCTCTCTGCCTCTCGCTTGACCTGTAAACGACAACAACGATGACGACTACTACTACGACATTGGCCCTGATTCCATGTTACCTTTTTGAGATTTGATTTATTCCCCATTGAAGCAATGTATAGAGGATCATATGCTGAACCATATATTGTGCGAGATCTGTGCGCCGACACGATCATCCACTACCCCACCACAAAATTATTTTTGATATACCATATTGTGTAACATTAAGCATAGCGACGGAGTTTGAAGGGTATTTTTCGTTTCCACTTGAATAAAAGCCAGCCGGGGAAGGGAATATGATTGGAAACGGAACAAAGTTGATTTTTTGCGAAGTATTTGCCCAAGTTTTCTCTTTTTCATGTTGTGTGGAATGTTCATATCCTCGTTTGTTCTCCTCAAGAAAGTCCCTAAAAGAAGGTAGATAGACTATCGAACTCTGATCCAGGTCATGGAAAGGAGAAGTATTTGTCCATTCTCTCAGGATTCTACTACTAATGTATTCCCTTGATCCATAACTTATGTCCCATATAATGACGTACACAACAATCAAA